CTGTACTACAATTTCTTGTTACTTAACAACCAGCATATACACCAATACCAGCCTGGCTGATGTATCGGTCTAGTTTTGCATGGGATAATATGCCATTTTTTGATTATGACTTTCTTTGCTGTGTGGATGTGCAAACCAATTGAGATTTATTATTTTCACTTTCACTTTCAATTTGCTCTGTTTGTTTTTTAACTAAAACTAGTGGAAGTGTAAACATCTGTTGATTATTCTGTTGGGTGTAACAGGCCCTTTAACGTATTTTGTTATAAGGGAATGGCATTGCACAGCATATGCTAATACATGAGGAACGTTAAATTTGTTTCCTTGATAGCTGCAAAACAAGTTGCTAAACTGAAGATGAAATTTGACACTCCCTGCTTCCTTGACTGATTCCCAGTAATTCTGACTTCAACTGCACTTAAACAGGACGTCCACTGCATACATACAAAAATTAAGCACAGACTATATTGTCTCAAGTAAAGATTCCACAGCGTATTGCCAGATATTGTATTCTACCTCTAGCAGTCACCAAGCAGAAAGAAAAAATAAACTCAAATCCCAAAAAACAAAGCACAGATCAGGAGCAGAGTCTGCGCACAGGCTCCTCCCAGGGTGTACAGCATATATTGATAAATACCTATAGACGTGTAATGTTTTGGGCATTCTGCTCTAAATTCATACACCTTGGGATGGGAGCATCTTTCAGCTTGTGGACTCTGCTTTTTCAAGCTGGAAATATCTTTGCCAACAGCCTGCAGCTATGATATCACAGCTTGTGCATCATGACATCTACAGTAACATAGCTATATGTTTTAGGCTTCAGAGGTTGCATGAGCAGCTTTAGCATGAATAATGTAAATTTCCTTTTGAGGCTTGAGTATTATAGGAAATTTAACAGGTGTGTGTGTTTTCTTTTGTTTTCCTTGCTGTCCACCCTTTTCCTTTCTTTCTAGTCCTTTCACATGTTGAATGACACCTTGTTGGATGGATACATGTATGGATGGCTGACAAACCTGCAGGCTCTGTTGAGCAATCAGAGCAGATTTGTTTGTTCGCTTTGAGACTGTGTGGGACACTTGCCATGACAACTGGAGCTGGGCTTGATATTTATCTTGTGTGTTGACTTATGAGTCCGAAGCGCTTGAAAGCCCAGGGAGGAATTTTTCATCACTTGCCCTCAAGCTCAGAATACAGAGTTTCTCTTATGCATGTGTGCGTTTTGTATAAACACCGTGGATTAAGTGAAACGCCACTTGGAAGGTCAGTAGAAGGTGGATTTCCTCGGTTTGGCCTCTTTATTGAGGTGGTAAGTGTAAGCCAGGTTTTGGACATTTATTTTGACACAAACTGTATCTCCTTTAGAAACTCATTTATGACAAAGGTGTTGCCTGCTTTCACTGTTTGTATTTTGTGACTGTATCAAAGTGAGGCAGAGTGAAAGTCCAAACCCCAGCTCTGCCATATAAACACAGTGAAGACTTTCAAGGCTTCTGGCTGGAAAGCCCAGCCCTGCTCTGCCTGTTTGGGCTGGTCCCTCTCCCAGTGATAGCTTACCTGTGGAATTTGCCAACGCTTTTTTATATCCCCATTTATGCTAGGGCAATAGCTGTGTGCTCTCACAAAGGGCAATGTGTACAAATGTAAACCCACCATCCTCACTTGCTTTTGCTGAAATATAATAGTCTTTTAGCCTGGGCTTTGCTTTTGTACCAAGTTTTTTTTTCTTTGCTCCCTCTTTTCTCCCTGCACAACACTGGCTCTGGAGGAGGCACACAATGTTCAGCAGCAGCATTGTAGTTTTGAAAGTACTTGTGTAAACAGGGCTAGGTGATTGCATTATGATGCAGCCCCTCCCTGGGACCATGACATATCAACAGCTACACCACTATTGTTTAGCCTCAGGTGTTTAATTCTGTTTGGCAGGAAGTGCTCTTGCACAAGGTTTGTGGTAAAATGAGCCCATCAGCGTGACAGATCATTAAGGGAATCAGAACACTGTTGGGAAATCGCCTGCATGCTGATTTATTTATCTTCTTTCTTACTTTTTTATGCAAAGCAGTAGGAACATTAAAGATAAGTCTATTTCCACAAACATAGATTAATACTTCCACGAGTAACTGCAGCTGTTGCCAGAATCACAAAAACCACCACGCCAGATTGTTTGATTGCCATAACAAGCTACACTTTATGAGCACTGTTTGCACAATTATATGTCTTAAATTGTTTAGCAAGTCGCCTCTTGAAAGCTGTCTACAGTGTCTACACACAGTATTGATCATTGAATAAACCCGAGTGTTTGCACATCCACACATCAAGGGCAGAGGTTACAAAGGCAGCAAGGACTGATTTGTGGATTTCTGGCTGTCAGAACTACAAAAATACTTTATTCACAGTGTTAAAAGTATGCAGACATACTTGCAGCTCAAATGTTTCAACAATGCACAATGCCCTAGGAAATGATGAAATCTTTACAGGCATCTCTGATATTGTATCAGTGTTTGCATGAGGGCTGTGTGTGGGCCTTTCTCTTTTTTCCAGCTAATTCGTTACCTTTTCTTAGGAAAGCAGAAAATGCCATGTCATCGAAAGAAACCTAAATGAAAAACAACAGCAGATATGTGTTTCCTCGTGCTGTCAAAATGTCTAAACCCAACTGCTGATTGTATGTTTTACCAAAAATACATGCCTATCAAATATTTCCACCTGACCTGTTCTGTGTTTTTTATTTGTATAATTCAACTAGTGTAACTGTATTCTTTGTTTTGTTCTGCTATGAGTGTAATTATGTTGAACCGAGGAGTCAAACCTGTCACTGCAGGTTTTTCTAGCTACTGTTTTGAATTGTGGTTAATCCGGGAGTTGTTTACCTGCTTTGTTAAACAGGTGACAATCCGCCGGCTACAAAGAGAAAGGGATGGTAATGTAGCTGAAAATGAGTGTTTAGTTGTATTAAAATCATTCTGAATTTACAAAGACCAATCAAGCCAGAGTATTTTAATGTATGTAATCCAAATATTAATTTCAGTCTAAAGTATCGTAATGTAGCATTAGTGCACAGACTTCTATGGATACTTGCAGAAAGTCCCTGACCAAAAGCTTGCCTCAATAATGTAATGTTGCACTTATAATCATTATACAGTGATTTCTTATCTGCAGCACATCCAACAATCCTTTATTTGGTGAGCAGTGATCTTTAAGATTAAGATATAAGATTACATACGGGGGCTGTATCCATACATGTCTATTACAATTTCATTATTTGAATATTCTGCAGGAAGGTTTGCCTAAAAAGAAATGCAGAGGAGGGTGTTTTGAACTCTCTGTGACCCTGTACCTTTTGAACAGTAACAAAGACACTATATGGGTATATAGATAAAACGTATGAGAGCCCCAGATTACATTTGATGGACAAAAAGAAAGTAGAGAATTGTATGGATCTTCACAGCATGTAGATCATTTCCAAGATCTGCAAGTGTTTGCTCTCAGTCGTCTGAGGTTTCAGTAGGCTGAGGAAAGACATGACCCCAGGGCATTTTCATTAAATCCTATGGTATTTTCTTTAAAATGACTGAAGAGAGAACAGTAGAAGAAAGAGACTATGATCAGCACACTGTAGATTACCTCTAAACCCAGTAAACATGAGTTTCCCCTCAGATTAAGTATTCGGCCTGGAGATAGATTAGTGTTTTTCATGTCAGAAGGTAGCTATACATTTTTATTTGTGTACACATTTACTGTGAAGCACTTCCAGGCACAGAGCAGTAGTAAACAGTGACATTGGGGAAAAAAGGGGGGGTATTGGTTTGTCAGGCTCGAACAATAGGTTTTAGTTTCTTTTATTTAATGCCTTTTTGGGCTTTTTAGGCAGATGATTCTGGCCTAAATGATTCTACCTAAAAATATCATATCCAATGGGAACAGGTTGCATCTATAAACAACTGTGTTCTTTCAGCTTTTTTGTCCATTTGAACTAGTTTGTTAAAGAAAGCAGACTTTGATTATTAAGTTCATAGGAATTAAGTGTATCTGTCTTTTGATCTACAGTTAATAATAAATTGACTTACTTTACTTTTACTTGAAAAGTAACATACTACATACAGTTTGTAACTGGTCTCCATTTAATACTGATACCTATATATGACCTACATAAACAAACGACCATCAGCAAGGCTATTTCTACTAGGGCTGTGTATTTTTGTAGGTTTAATACAGCCACAGTGCAGTAACTACACAGCCACAGTGCAGTAACAGTAACTACACAGCGCCAGTAACTACACAGCCACATGCAGTAACAGTAACTACACAGCCAGTAACTACACAGCCACAGGGGTGCAGTAACGTAACTACACAGCCAGTAACTAACACGCCACCGTGCAGTAACAGTAACTACACAGCCAGTAACTACACAGCCACGGTTGCAGTAACAGTAACTTACACAGCCAGTAACTACACAGCCCACAGTCGCAGTAACAGTAACTACACAAGCCACAGTGCAGTCACTGGCAGTTTGGTTAGCACCAGTACTTCTCCTACATGGGATGCCTCGATAAAAGCCATTAGGTGAAAACAATTCTGTGCCACAAAATTGTCACTTATAACTGACAGCCTTATAAGTGGTTGGACATTCTGGAATGTGGGCCAGAGGCAATTAGAAAGCATTTATATTCAGCTGTTTTGTGTATAATTCTTCAATGCGAAAACAAACCAACCCCTTTTTGTAGGAAGGCAGTCGAGTATGTTATGATCTGGTGACAACATAAAACTGCGGAACTGAAATTTTTCACGTTTTGAGTCAGATGTGCTCACTGACATAGGACACTTTGTCAGTTTGTGTTCCTCTGCCTGCTCTGGTTAGGAGAGAGGGGGGGAGGGTGAGAATCTTCTGGGACCGGCTGAGGAGAGCCCACCTTTACCTCCAGGGGAACCCCTTTGGCCACTGACTTCCCCTTCAGTCACCTTCACCTTACCCCTGTGGGAGGAACATCAGTGATCATCTCGCCTGCTCTCTGCGACGTAAAGTGACCTCAACACCAAATCACAAAAAACAAACAAACAAATGTTCTCACCTTGGGTGGTGGAGCCATGCAAATAGTTGGTGGTTTTATTTGCTTGAGCTTTTGAGATATTTGAGGATGTCTGCCACAACACCAATTAGGTGGGCTTGTAACATTGAACAAAATGAAAAATCCTGAGCATCTCTTTCCTGGAACAATATCCTGCGGGTACTTAGGGCCTATACACAAACCTCACTGTCAACAGCATTTCATTGGACTATTTCCAGTGTAAACACAAGCTTTGAAAGTCACATATCTCAACTAGGACTTTTGTATCACGGGAGGGAGAAAGTTTGTGACCTTTAATTTGTCAGAATATATCTGTTGGAATTATTTGATGTGCTTGTATTGTATGATACAACCCAGGTGGAGGTGTGTCATAGAGATAGAGACAGTTGACTATGCATCACATAAAAAAAAAAAATTGGCTGAGCATTCATCATGCTGGTTCAAATGAGTCATCACCGCAGAAAAGACTTACTGGAATTTGTCATCTGGCGCTGTAATCATTAAGCTTCCTAGTACTTTCCTTTTCTTAGAATTCTAATGTTTTCTGATAATTTCCCCTTACGTGAACTATATTCCTGGCTAAAGTAAACTTATTAATGGACAGCTCAAGGTGGAATTAGCGGAGGGGAGAAATGCCGGAAATACAAAAGGGGTGGAGAAGATATTCCCAAAACACTGCAGTTCACAGTAAGTAAATGACGCTTCTAGGGCAGATGGTGCAGGGATAATGTCTTGTCGGTCTCATATCATTAGAGATGGCGTTCCACGTCTCCCACCCGACCGGGCAATTCAAACCCCAGAAATGAAGTGATCAACAGTGGCAGCAGCCTTCCCATTAGCAGAAGTGACACACAAACTAGTTATTATCAATTAATAATCGACATATTAATATACTCTAACTACTAGCATTGTATGCAATTGTAATACCATAACAAATAAAATATAATGACTATCAGCATGGGAAGTGGGCTCCTGTGTTTTTCAGTTCGAAGGCTACTTGAAAATATGCCTTTCAATTTATTTATAATTCCACCATTTGTAATAGAGACTACATTCTATGATTACTCACACACATTCAAAAACCTTAATCCACATGTCGGTGAATTGGAGCTGAATCTCCCCATATAAGCACGCCCACTTTCGCCTAGAATTTTTTTTTTTGTTAGAGCGCAAAATGTCAAAAGCACTTTTTCGTGTTCCTCCAATACGCTTGTCTGATTCAGCCACGAAATTTTTCACACGTAGCATCTGGGGACCGTCCTGGCAAAAAAGTCATTCGAAGAATTTTGATATTTCAAAAAATAAGCACGCTATAAAATTAGCACTTCCTGTACATTTTTCATCAAAAAAGGAAGTGGACCTTTTCTCCACATTAGTATGTCCAATTGACACCAAGTTGTGGTCCATAGTTCCCCATGTCTTCCTTAGGCATCGTGCACAATTTCAGGCCATTGCCACAAGGTGGCGCTCTTTAAAATGAAGAAGTTTATATCTCCACATTGATACTGTAATGTAATCATTAAGCTTCCTAGTACTTCCTACGAATTGTCAAGTCATAGAAGTATAAGATTTTCTTAGAATTCTAATGTTCTGATAATTTCCCCTTACAGTGAAGACTATATCCTGGTAAAGGTAAGACGTATTAATGACAGCTCCTAAGGTAGGAGTAGGGAGGAGAAAATGCTGGAAATACAAAGAGGTGGGAGAAATATTCTCCAAACACTGAGTCACAGTAAGATAATGACTAATAATGACTTCCTAATTTGTGTTTGATATGCAAAACAAAAAATGACGCATTTGCAAAGCGTATACAGGAATTTCAACATAACCAAGATGTTTATGAGCAATCACAGCTGCTGATCTTCTTCAATCTTCTGCTATGTAATAAAACTTCAACAGTGACACACATGTTTTGCAACGTTTCAAACATGTCATACATGCTGTTTCTGCTATCACACCAAGCAAAAGGATGGGTGTAATTATACACACGTCAATGACTGCTTTCAAATGTAGACTGGCAACTGAGCCTGTCTGACTCACTTGTGCATAGACCTGGAAGAAGATTTACGAAGAATGCAATGTAATCGTAGACTTAATTATGATATGACACAAGGAATGTGCCTCGTTGGGCAAGAATAACTCTATAATACTGTAATACTGTAGACAACAGATGGGTCTTTTACATTTGACCTCTGACCTCTGCTTTTTTCCTGTTAAGCTGTGAATTATGGTCTACATGCTGTTGACCAGGAACCTTAGTCCGATGACTTAAAGGTTCAGTGAGTAACATTTAGAAGGATCTATTGGCAGAAACTGAATTTAATATCAATAGGTATTTTTTCAATAGTGTATAATCACTACACATTATCATTGATCAAAATAAGAATCATTGTGTTTCTGTGACCTTAGAATAAGCTGTTTTTATCTACAGATGACAGATTTAAGCATTGTTGGAAACATCTGGGATAATGTTAGTACACAGCTCAACAAAACATATGACACAGGCCTAGAGTTTATAGACATTTTAATGCAGAAATGTTACATATTATAGCATTAAAAAACACCAGCTTGGCTGTATTTTATTTTGAAAGTGGAACTGGACTCTTCACTTCCAGGTAAAATTAAAAAAGCGATGTTCTCCTCTCTGAGTCTATGCTCAGTGGATTCAGACTGCCAAGCTGCACCAGCAGCTTTCATAATTAGCAGCATGAGAATTCCTATTGCTTGCTCTAATGTAGTTAATCCCTCTAAGATATTGTGATCTCATGTACACCACACCCATCCCAAGGCGAGAAGTCAAAAAGCTGTAAAAAGCAAATAAACTTGTTTTCAGATATATTTCTGTCCCCCCCCCACCTCCACAGATCCATAACTTTCGCGAGCAGCTCAAAGATGCGGCGCAGAAAGTCCACGCCTTGAAGCCAGTTCCTGGGAAGGCCAATGGCGTCTTGGTCCTGAAGCAGCCAATCCAAATCGAGGCTTACGTGGGCGTCATGTCTTTCCTCGGAAACCAGAACAAACTGGGATACTGTATGGCTCGAGGAAACCTTGGCTTCTAACTCGTCTACATTTTCTAATATTTTGGTTCAAATTGTGTGCTATAATTTATAAGGCTTGAATTCATGTCGATAAGCTTGTTTACAGAGAGTTCATTCAAATTCTACAAGGATTGACCAAAAATGTTTCCACATTCAGGTTTGTGTCACAGCCTGGGTTCTCATGATGTTCTGTGTGAGGTTTAAACAACTGTGTGATTTCCCCCGCTGCTTATTACCAGTGTGTGGTGTCTGAGCACTCAGAAATATCCACATTTCAACACGGCTCTTCACTGGATGACGGATCCCCCACTGCTCTCAAGGAGCTTTGTTATTTGCTCCTCAGTGATATGGTAATTCAACTCTTTCGCAATGGGACTCCTTTCTTCCTCCCCCAGTGTCTCTGTTAAAAGCTCATTCCCATGCCATTCTGCCCCTTAGAGATTCACTGGAGCATGGGGGCACATTTGTCAGTTTAGTTGTATCATTCCTAGTGTATTTTTACAGTGCATACAGTTTTGGAATTTCCCCTTGATTTGTGTGTTTACTGTGTGTAGCTCTGCCTTGTTTTGGTATCATCTGTTAGTCTTATGAGCCTGTCACAGACATAAAATGTAGGCTTACATATTTTGTACATAGTACATATGTCTGTACTAAATAAGAATTTATGTTTGCTGAAGGATAAACCCAATGGTGAGAATTGACACTTCAGAAATGCCACAATTAATGATGTCCTGCTGCTGCAGTTATAGTACAATAATATTAGTACACATTAGACCCACTAGGTCTTTTTTTTTTGGGTTGCAATATGCCTGTACTGTTGTCTGACTGCTGTACTTGTTTACATTTAAAAACAATAAAAAGTTGTTCACAAAAAAAAATTAAATGAAAGCGCCATCTGATTTCATGCTTCACACAGTGCAAGTAGTTTTCCACACAGCAGCAGGGCACATTTAAATTGGGTTACCTTGCTCAGGAGTAACAGCTTGTTGTGGCAGCAATTGACTGTTATATTAGACCCTGCAATATTTAAAACTAATGTGGTGTTAAAAATGACCAAAATGACCATGTCTTTAATTGTGGATGTGTTTTTGATGAATGATCGTGGTCAGCACTGACGTTAGTAACAAATACAGTTTCATATGACCATTTTAGTGTAAAGCAGGATGCTTAGGTTTGCTTCAGCAGTAACGTATTACAGCTATAAAGAGAGCAGTGCTGGGTAGGTTGCTTGAAAAATAAGGCTGTCCGTGGGGTCTTGACAGGTTTTAAAAATTTGGATTAATAAAGTTAACATTACTTTGATTTTTCAGTCTTGCTTTTAAATGTATTTTTTGAAAAAACATGCTACAAAATGAAACCAATGTGGAACCAATACAGATTTTCCTTCATATGCTTTGTACTTGTTTTTTATATCACATTATTTTACTAATTGCTTAGCAGCAATTAATTAGCAGCATTACTCAGTACATGACGTTCAGCTACGTTTAAGGCACCTTTAAACAACTTCAGAGCTTCTACACCCACACATTGCATCTTCATATGTTGTTGTTGTTTATTTAAAATCACCTGATGTGCCTCTAGTCTTCAAGGGGTCCTGAACTATTGCACGTGTAGAAATATAAATGAGACATTTTGGTTACACAAACAGACAATTTGGAGTGCACAGCCTCACAGTAAAGCTGCGTGGTTCACAGGCCAGCCAACTCTTAACTAAACTAGGTGATTCCTCAGCGTAGGCTTACCTATGGTTATCGTTAACAAGCGCACAAAACATGTGAATAAGACAACTTTGAAATTGCCTGAAGTTGCATTTCTTGTTACAGTAATGTTGGATTGCTTACATGTATTGTTTACTTTGAAGGTATGCTGTTTGAATCTAGTATGGGAATGGCAGGCCCTGCCAGTAGCACAGGAAACTACTGAGAGGTTATTACAGAATTTAAATACATTGGATGGATAGTGCTATAAAAAATAGGATTTAATCTCATGAAAACGTTAAGCATTATAGTTTTAAAGCTTCAAAAGTGAAACTGTACACTGGTAAAACACAGTTTTGTTCACAAATTACACATCAATTCCTGAGTGACAAATACAAGTAAATGCAACTAAGCCAGCAGTATTTAGTCTCTTCTAAAGTTTTCTCTTCAGGAAATAAGGTTAAGTAGCGAGCTTCCAAGGAATACATGCAGCTGTTATTGCACAAGGTAAAGTATATGGTTAAGTTCAGCACCTTTAGTATCATGTATCATCACCTTAGGGTTTGAAGGGGTTAACATGTTTCTTCCCAGAATGAGGACGTGTCTCTAATCCTGGATCAAGCGCTGCTCTGGCCTGGAGCGAAGCACCTCATCCATATTTCTGCTCTTCAAGTTGTAAAAGATGTTCAGAAAACAGAATTAACTGCCAGATAAATGAGCACTCAAAGTTTTGCCCCTCAAGAAAACTTTGGTAGAGTTTTACATTTAGGTCACCTGATGCTTCAGAGGACACTATTTGACAAATATCCAACTGTGTCTATTTATTTTGTTTGGTTTCCATGGATTACATTTGTACCTATAATCATTTTATTCTTTAATTGTCATGACATTATCTTAGCTGCAGGTAAAGCAGTTACCAAAAACACTGAGCAGTAACATGACAAAGAAGTCTTCGAAGACTGTCATGTCACACATCATTTGAAATAATAAGGACTGCCTAAGATGTAATGTTTGTGATTATGTTGCTGTTCAGATGATGCAGTTTACATGTTCTGTCATATTTTAATTGAATTTTAATGAAGCCAATCTGCCCTTTTCTCTTGTTTTCTGTCAACCTTTATTTCCGTAACAGTTGAGAGCATCACTTCAGTTGGCAGATGTCTAAATGCGATGTGACTTGCTCTTAATGCCAGGATATAGAATGAATTCAGGCCAGTGTGTGTGCAGGAGGGAGCGTGGGTGTGTTGTTATGTTATCCATCTCTGTCCTCAGATGCTCTTTTTTGCAGTGGAGATCATTATGTTCAGCCCTCCAGGTACTTCATCTGAATTAAAGCTCTGATTTGCTCTCAACATTGCATGTACAGTCTGTACTCAGAACAGGACAGGTGGGCACATATGGAACATCAGATTAGTACACATACTTTATTATTAGCCATAATTGACAGATATTTAAATTTTACTTTATTTGAAAATGGAAAACCTTTTACTTTTACATTAAAGCAGCATTATTGGATTTTCTTTTGCCACTTGGTTGCAGCAGATACAAGGTGTAAATACAACGACATATAGAATTATTGGCTTATAAAGTTATTATGGTTCGCATGTTAGCAAATAGTTGTCTATTTACGCATCCAATAAACACAGAGCAACATCATCATTCATTTAGAGTTATGTTCCTGGTGACCTGACAGAGGAAGTCTATTATTAACTCTCCTTTTAGTTTTGATCTCTACCAATTCCTGAGAAAAATATCTTCCTCTAGCAAGCTAAATGCTCTGCTTTACTATATAGATATCATACAGTGGTAATGTGGTTATGGTAACCCCTGAAACAGCTGCTTAGAAACAACACTGATTATAGCAATGAAACTAAACCAAAACAATAAAGTTGTAGGCTGTAAATCTCTGTCTCTAAATTCTCTGTAAATAATTTTATAAGGAGTACGGTCTAGACCTGCACTATTTTGAAAAGTGTCCTGAGAGATAACTCCTGTTATGATTTGGCACTATACAAATAAAATTGAATTGAATTGAATTGTAAATCCAAAACAATGAGCTGAAAGACGCTAAAACACTCCAAAAGTCCCCTGTCACATTACAAATATAAAAAGTTGTGCTGCTTTAAGTTAATAATAAAAGATAATTTTATTTGATTACATAACAATATGATTTTTTACAGTGTAGTTGAAGTATGAGACTGACATACAGCTTTAAAAATTATTAATACTACCTGCAATTCTACAATGTGGACTAACCACAATATAGAGTATAATAATTGAGTATTAAACTACTTGAACTGTGGTATTTTCTTAGTTAGGCACATTCTGGCCTAAATCTTATAATGAACAAATTAAACAGCCACTTATATGTATTTTACTTATTAATGTGAGTAATTAAACTCTTTCATCACATTTCCCTCTACACTCACAATAGTGCAAGTAAGTGTGTATCATTGCTTTGTCAAAGAGAACACATGGACTCAGAAGATAAATGACTTTCAAAGGTAATGATTGCATTCCTTTCTGGAAAGGTAAGTTAGCGCCTTGGGCTAGATAATAAGGCTTGTACTTTTCTTCAATTATTTTCCACCAGAGGAACATCAAACTGATCAACTGGCTTTCTGTGGTTATGAACTGACACTAGTAGACTGGTATCTCTGCTCCTATATTGTATGGTATTGTATTTTGTGAATTGTAACTCTGGTTTCGAGAGGCGCTGTTGTTTGTACTATTTCAATCTGTAAAAACATATCTTAAAAGTCCCTTAGTGATCAGATTTTTTTGTGTAGATTTTTTAGTCCTATTCTTGAAACACAAGAAGCACAATGTGTATGGAAACTGTATTAAGTTAGCCATTAACAAGTTAACTTGAGGCCTGTTGTAGAGACTGCATGGTACAAGTGGTTTTGATGGAGGTCAAGGTCACAGGATGGTCTCATCGGAAGTCTCCATGTCTAGCTCGACAGGTCCAAGTGGTTATTTTGCTTGATTGTGATGTGAGATGATTTTCCCACTGCCCTGAAGTGGAATGTGATCGGAAAAGTGAGAGGCTTAAAAACTGCCCATCAGTGCCTGTGACCCTGGATGGCCCCAGCTAACAACCAGAGCTGCCTGGGATGCTTGGGGCAAGTAACATAAGACAAATTCTGCGAGACACTTGCAATCCTGGTGTGGCACGCAGTCGTCTCATCTCTCTGAAATACCTTTAAAGCCCTCAAAGATATGCCAACTTGGATACCAGGCTTCTTTTCACAGGTCATGCAACCTCAAGTCACCATTTTCATTTCTCTGACATCTGCGTTGCTTGTTTGTTTGGTAAACATGTTACACCTGTCAGCGGAATGCTGGTTGCTAACGGGCCAAGTCCAACAGCATTTATTATATTCTGCGTCTCTTTCCCCTTCTTCTCGCCTCTCTCGTTTTTCCATCTGTTGCCCTCGCAGCAGTGAACACAGTAAGTGTGAAGGAGTGAATGTGTGAGGAAAAGCGTGCGTGTGTTTGTTCTTGCATGTGCTGTATGTGGATGTGTTGGCACACACGCGCGCACAGAGGCTACTGGGTTGTTGTCTGGATTGCTGTCTTGTAATGGAGATAGAGACACTGTTTTTATTTATCCCTCCCCCAGCTGTCACTGTTGTGTCTGGAGCGAGTTCGCTGAACTCAGGGCTATGGGACACTTGGAGAACTGTCAAATCCACTAACCCTCCAAACTATGCAGAATGTTACAGCCCAGAACACACCCTGGATTCTTATTATGGAAAACAAAAGCTGACAGGGACATTCAGGAAATGTGCAACCTTTATCTTACCTTTATATTTCTGTGTACAGTGAAACCAGAGCAGCAACAAATATGATTCTTTTATAATTATTTTCCTTTATTATGCATTCAAATGTGGAATCAAGTAAAGGGAAATTATGTTACTGTGGTTTTTCTTAAAAATTTTAGTTTTAAAGGATTACATTTTTTTCAGGCTTATCACCAAATCACAGATATTGTGAATCCCAGAGCCACCAAATGTAGCAGATATATTTCAAATGTGTGTATAATAAGTAAGACAAAAATATAACACCAAATACAAATAATTGCTACCACGACCACAAACAATTACATCAGTTTTATTTCCCTTACAGGCATTTTCCTCCAGTATAATAAGTATTCAGATCCTTTACTTTATCCGTTTTATCAGCTAAATGTAAAGGTACTCATGTAGCAAGCACAATGGCCACAGTAAAAAAATATTTTATTATTGGATTAATATTACTAAAGAATAATGCTTGTGAGGTGGAGTTAGGTGTATATAAGTAATATATAATGTTGGTCATTTTGATTTTAATTTTATAAACTGATATTTTGTGTATAAAAACAGAGTCTGCATCGTAACTGCAGCCAGTCAGATGAATGTAGTGGCGTAAAAACATCAATATTACAGCACTTGAGTAAATATACTTAGTTACATTCCAATGCTGCTTTCCTCAATATTAAACAATATACTGTTAGTTTTAAGGCTGATAAATTGATACATTTTATACACAGCATATTGTTACACCAAGTGTTTCAGATCCAGAACACGTCTTTCTATCTTTCCTGACTGGTTGTTTTCTTTTGGGTGCCTTGGATTCTTTCAAATGCCCTTAGTTGCACGAGGAGGAGCCAGAGGAATCTTACTTTTTAACAGATTATCTGTCTCTTA